GGAGCGGCCGGGAGCGGGCGGGGCGCCGGGCCGGTGGCCCGGGGAGCAAACTTTGGGTCGTGTCTCGTGGCGACCTTTAACCCCCCAAACTAACTTCTTAGGGCTCCGTGGCCGCGGGGGCCTGGGGTCGCGGGCCGGCTCTGGCCCAGGCCCACGCGAGGGCGCTGCCGCTGGGCAGACCAGGCGCGAGGAGTGCGGGCCGGGGGCGGGGCGGCCTCGGCCCCCGTCCGCGGAAAGGGCTGGGGGGATCTCTCGCGCCCGGAACCCGCTGACCGACTCTTGCGGACTCTCGGCCACTCTCGGGCCTGGGATTCCTAGAAGAGCCGAGACCCTGTTTCGCATTAACTTTATGGAGAGGTGCTGTGGCAAATTGGCAGCTAATTGAAGCCCACCCTAGGCACTTAACGATGGCCGCTGTTGTGTGCTCAGGAGCGGGAGAGTTTTGAGGGTGGGGGCTGAGAAGGGCAGGAGTGTGCACGTCCTCCCCTCCCCCCCTCGCCCCCTTCTTACGTGCCTTCCTGCCTGCAGGGATACCCACCCATCACCCCAGGGTCTACAGCATCCACAGTCGACATGTCACCCGCTACCCTGCCAATTCCATCGTGGTGGTCGGAGGCTGCCCGGTCTGCAGGTACGGCACATGCCTGTCTAAGAACTCCCGTCCCCACACCCTCATGGGGGCGGGGAGGGCAGGGGGCAAGCTGCAACCTGTCGAGTCAGTAGGTTCAGAAGTCCTGGTTCTGAGTGTTTCATGGGGTGAAGCGGGTGGGGCGTTGAGTGCTTTGGGGGCTTTGAGTCCTTAGTGGGTGAGCTGCAGAAATGTTAAGGGTCCAGACCGATGGCCTCCTGGGTCTTGGACCTGTAGGTTTGCTCTGCATTTGATGCTCTAAGGTGGGGAAAGTTTCATTTTTGCCAGGAAGTGCCAGGAAGGAGGACCCTGGGGCTGGAGGTCCCCAAGGCCAGGGAGCAGAGGCGCAAGGGCTGCAGACCAGTAGCTGGATAAGGAATTCCATGGCGTGTGCTCAGCAGTCGTTTTTCATATTGTCAGTCTGGAGTCTTCAGAACTTTCTGATGACTTTTTTTTTTTATAGGACCCAAGACTCTAGCTAGAACACACCCTGTGAGCATCTGAGGATTCGATTCAGTGAAGAATTGGCCCCTGTCCTTAACAAAGACCAGGCTTAGTCGGAAGGGAGGAAGTGGGTGTCTCTGAGGTGGAATTGAGAAATTTTGACTGAATTTCAACATTGTATCTGGGCGGTCGGGAGTGGAATCCAAGGGATGTTTAATGATTTCAGAATGTGGGAGATGAGGGCTCAGCAGAGGCAGAGCATGAGAGAGGTGGGGGCTAGAGGCTGCTCTCCTTGTGATCTGGCATGTGAAATTGACCCTTGGAGATTAAGGGTAGGGGTGGGAGAGTGAATTGTTCCCAGTGCTGCTCTTCCCGGGTGGCATTGGGCTTGCTGTCTGCTGCAGGAAGGGCAGGGGTCCCGGCGAGGGCCGCTAAGCCTCCGACGACACCCAGAGACGCCGAGCTTGTGCGTGGCGCCTTTTTGCTTGGAGGCTGCTCCAGGGTGCACAGGGGATGGTCCCCATTGAGACGGGTGGGGTACTGGGCTTTCCCAGGGCCTAATCTTTTGGTGGGGAGGGGTGTATCTGATCTCCCAAATTTAAGGAGGGGAGTCTGGCTGTCGGGAATATCAGGGAGGCCCCTGCACAGAGGGTGGGAGCTGGGTATCCTGCCACTTGTCTGCCTTGTCCCAGCAGTGCCCGTCTACCCGAAGAACTGGGGCCCACTTCCCCATCTGGGAAATGCGGTGTCTGGTGGGATGACCTGTGAGACCCTTGTCACCCAAGATCTGAACTTAAAAAGGAGGGGCTGGCAGTTTGCCCCTGTGGCTGGGCCAAGTGCCCAGGACTCTGGCACTTTCAGAGCCATGACCGCTGCCAGGTGGGGACACTTGTCCTCGGCCTCCCTCCTGTGGTGGGAGCCCTGTCCTCTGGGAGGCCTGTGGATTTGACCCTCAGGGGCCTCCAGTCATGCAGAGTGTCAAGGTCAGGCTGTGCGCTCTGCTTTTCCGGGAGAGCTTGGGCCACCTGGAGGCGTTGGGGTGGCCCCTGCATCTGGGCACAGGCTGTCCCTTTTTGTTGGGTCTGGTTGTGGGCAATGTACCAGCATGGAACATGCTGAGGGTTGAGTCGAGGCGCAGGTTTGCGAGGCAGGACTGCTGCTCAGTGAGCAGTCCTCTTGCTGTTTGTTAGTGTAATGGACACGCATGATAATGTGACAGTGGCAGGAGGAGCAGGGTCCAGGGGAGACAAAAGGGTAATCAGCTTTATGGGGACAGGGGGGGACATCTTGGCCACGCATACAGGGACGACTTCTGTGCAGGTGCTTGGTGTAATTTCTGAGCTGCTTCAGACTGCCTCTGACCATGGCCACGGTCGGTCACATGGCCGCCTGGGCATCCCGCTGCCTCTGGACACGGGCCTTTGTCTTAAGGCAGCCGTGCAGGAGCACGTTGGCCAGTTCTTTCACACATACAGGTGCAGAGGCCCCAGGTGGTTGAGAGCCCACCATGGGGATCCTGCCTCCCGCCTCTGGGCATGGAAGGCAGGCGGTGAGGAGAGTTGCGTGGGAACAGATTCTGGACTCCCCTTGTGGCATGTCCTCCTCTGGGGTGAGGACGATGGCCCAGTAGTGAGGGGACACTGGCCCTTGGGTTCTTCTCTGTGCTCGCCCTTGCACTCTGCCTGTGAGGTGTGCAGGCATGGAGCTCTCTGGGTAGCAGGAGGGAGGGAGCAGAGGGGAATGTTGCTGTCCTTAGGGGGTAGGTGCGCAGTCCCTGGGCAACAGCTCTCGGGGAGGCAGGAGAGGCCTCCCTGGGGATCTGGCAGCGTGGCACTGAGTGTCTGGGTTGAGAGACAGCGGCTCTCACATGACCAGGCTTTCCCGCTCCTTGCCCTCCCTGATAGTGTGGCAGGAATCCGCCTGTCCCTCCTGATGCGGCCTGGCTGAGGCCTGGGTCCCTTGTCAGTTTGCCATCCGCCAGAGCTTCCCTTGAGCGGCCTGATGGCATCTGTGCTGTCCTCCACTGCTCGAAAGTGTATCCAGCAGGTCACAGTGGGGGTCCCTGTACAGGTGGTAGAGGCCTTGCCAGCCCCTGGCTCTCTGAAGCTGCCCTGCCTGAGAGGGTTGTTCCTAGGTGTGGGACAAGGTGGCAGCAGCGCAGGGCTGGAGCTGGGCCTGATGGTTCACCTGGACTGTGAGGCAGCCTGCTTAGCAAGTTCGTGGGGAGCAGGGGTCACGGGCTGGAGCATGTGGAGGTCCCAGGCACCTGGCTCCCCACCAACATGGGGTATTGAGTTTTGTGGTAACTATAGAGGAAAAAATCCAGGAGCAAGCAGGGTCCTAGAAGGCAAGATTGAGGCTCATAGGTTGGCTGTCAAGGTTGGGTGCTACCTGGAGTAAGAGGTCAGAGTAAGTCTAGGGTGGGGTGCTAGTGGTTATTGAGTAGTGCTGGGGACCCTGGGAGAGCCCTTGAGGCCAGGAGCAGACTGTGGGGCATGCCACAGGCCACAGGGCGGTGTGTGTGGAGGGGCAGCTCCCTGTGAGTGAGGTAGCTGATCCTGGGCCTTCAGGCCAGGCCCCCACCAGCCCCTGGGAGCTGGCTGTTCTGGGTACAGGTTGACAGCATGGGTCCTGCCCATGTCCACTGCCCTGTGGGCTCTCCGTCTGGAGGGGCAGCTGACCGATGAGCTGTACTTGTGCCCTGGGCTGCACCAGACGGTGTGCAAGCCATGGGGACCCAAGGTTGTCTGTCGCCTTCTGGCCCTGCAGGGAGAGCTGGAGCCCCCCCTTCCCCTTGTCTGACTGAGCTTGGGTGGCTCACAGTGAGTCTTAGGCTTACCTGGCCACCTCCTGGGCCTCCCTGAGCCTGACCTCAGTTCAGCCCCTGCTGCAGGCAGAGTTTTGTCCCTGGGCCTCCTCAGGAGAGAGCAGTGAGGAAGACTCCAGGCCCTTGTCCAGGCCTGCCTGACCAGGCTTGTCAGAGCTGCCCCAGAGTGGCTGGTGGCCGAGACCTGCCTCCGAAAGGACCGCTTTCGCTTTTGCTGCTGCTAGAGGCCTGGTTGGAGTGGGGACTCTGGGACTCACTGTGGGAGAGGTGCCTCTGATGGCGACCTGGTCTCTGGAGGCTGGCTGGTGCTTTGGGGGTGCGAGGCTGCTCTCCCTCTTCCCAGGAGGCGTGCTCTTTGCGAGGGCTAGCTTGTTCAGGCAGGGTGACATCCAGGCCTCTTGCGCAGGAGAAATGAATTACCCGTGAGCCGAGAGGGCTGCTGGGGCAGGGTGCTGCTGCAGAGGTGAGGTCGAGTGGCTCCCAGCTAGGTGTCCACTTCCTGAGGGGATTCAGACAGCACCGGGGAGGGCTCACTGTGAGGACAAGAGTCGTCCTGGCCTGGGCTCGCTCTGGGGCAAGAGGGCGGCTACCTGAGGAGCTCAGAACCCCTCCTGCCTCCTTGCCCTCCCTCATGAGGTGGGGCCCACCGGCCCAGCACAGGGAGAGCAGCCTCGTACCCCCAAAGCAACACCCAGCCTCCAGAGACCAGGTCGCCATCAGAGGCACCTCTCCCACAGTGAGCCCCAGAGTCCCCACTCCAACCAGGCCCTTCAGAATTTCAGAATTAGTTCTCATATTTCTCCAGCTTCAATGTCCCTTTCAGACCCTTCCCTCACATGACCTGTTGCCTTTTTAGAATGGGGATGGGCTGGGACTTCCTCAGTTTCAATTTTGTGCCAGTTGATGGAATTGAAACTTCATCCTGAGATGATTGGGCTTCCTTGGGGTTTGTGAGAACAGGCGAGGCCCTCGGCCTGGCCAGAGGGCGGTGGTCTTGACCTGGGGTGCGGGTGTCCCCTGTGGAGGGCTCACAGGGTGGCCTGCCCTGCAGCCTGTGGGTTGCTGCCTCAGAAACCAGGGACCAGAGTGTTTTAGATTTAAGAAAACTGTAAGTTATGCCAGCACCCTTCCGAGGCAGTACCCACAGACATCAATATTTCCGCTGTAGGAAACGAGCACTCACTCTAAACAGATAAATTAAGACTAAATGGTCACACGTCAGTTCAAGTCCCGTGTGGCTGCTAGGTGAGTTTGCTGCACGCTTCTAGAAAGGTTCTGCTTTCAGAGATCTTCGGCATTTGGGATTATAGGTAAGAAGGGGCAGCTCTTGGGTGGTGGGTGTGAATACCTGCTTGGAACCTCCTGCCAGCTAGGGCGAGTCCCTCTTGGAGGGTCTGGGGCGGGGGCCTTGGCAGGGCCCGGACTTGGTTTAGCTCCCTCTGCGCCTGACGAGAACCAGCCTCGCTCTGCTCAGGGATGTGGTCGGTTGGCCAAGAGCTGGTGGCTTGGCAGGCCTCTGCTGGGGGGAGGGGTCTCGAAGCATCAATCCCCTTTTTGACTAAAGGAGTCAGACTCGGGATTCCCAGCAGCCTGCTGTGCTGTGGCAGGTGTGCGCCATTGGGGGGTGTTGGGGCATCTGCCCACGGCTCTGCCTGCCTGAGTTCCCAGAGGAGCCCACTTCCGAGGCTGGGAACATGAGCATGAGGTGCTCGTCTGAGCGGCTGTCCCCCCAGCCTGCGCTCGTGAGGCCTGGCTGAGTGAACCAGCCTTCCTGGGCTACCTCCAGCGCTGGACACTGTAGACCAAGGCCTTGCGGTCTGGGTAGAGAATTAGGGGTGGGTGGAGCTGCAGCCCCTTGAGGCTTGGCCCTGGGATGACTGGCAGATAGGCTGGTTTGTATGGCCATGCTCTTGGGGCCACCGGGGGAGTCCTGCCTTCTGCACCGCTTCGGGGGACTGCACCACTCCAGAAGTTTTCTCCAGCCAGGGTGCTGGTACCCCTCTACATCCCATTCATGGCCCTGAGGTCAACAGTGCAGGCCCCCCCAAACCCCACGCCTGCTGCCCCAGGTCTGGGAGCCCTTGAGCAGACACACTGGGTGGGTCCTAGGCACTTGCTGGTGTGGGTGGCCAGGCGAGGAGCCCTCTGCCTTCTTGTTGGATGTTCTGACTGGAACGTGCAAGTGGGTGGTTGTTGGAATCTCAGCATGGGGAGAACTGGGTGTAGATGCCAGGAAGCAGGAAACACAATCTGCGTGGTTTGTGGGCCCCCAGTGGTCCCAGGCGGCCGGCCCCTCCAGCTGCTCTGCAGGTGACCTGGCTAGCGTGGATTGTTGTAGGAGCTGTTGGTCATGACCGTGGACGTAAGGGGGTGTCAGGTCTCTCTCTGTAAGGGGATGCAGCTGGTGGCTCAGGGCTTTCCTGTCACCCCCTTTTGTGTAGCGTGGCCTCAGGTGCCTTTGCAGCTGGCCCTCACCTGCCCTGCCACCTGCATCCTGGAAGCTGCTGCAGGGGTGGCATAGGCTTGGCACACTGGGACACCAGGAGACACTGTCTTTCCCAGAATGGACCAGAGCAGACCCTGTTGACTGCAGTTATTCGGGGAGACTAGTGTTTCAGGACCAGCACCCTGGAAAATGTTCTTCGAGGTGCTGTCCATTGTGGGCATGTTGTAGGCAGTGCCCCCGGGGCAGTGAGCATCGAGTTGGGCATTTTCTTTAAGCAGTCTTAAACCAGACTGGCTTTGTCGCTCAGCCCCCAGCGGAGTGGGCCCTGCCATGCCCCACGCCTGACTGTGGGTGTGGGCAGAGCCAGACCTCTTGCAGCCCTGCGCTGGTGTCAGCGGCTTTGGCACGGTGCTCACGGGAGTCTGAGAAGGGGCTGCAGCAGCCTGGTGTATGGAGAGGAGGAAGCGTGTACACACTCCGGTCCTGAGGCGTGCTTCGCCTCGTGTTTATTAAGCTGTGACCCTCCTCCTGTCCACTCAGGCAGCAACATGAAGAACAGCTGCTTCCAGAAAGGATGGGCAGAAAAGATCCTTAGCAGGGTTTGAAGAGGGCGTGGTGGAGGAAGTGGCTTTAGAAAGACAGATGTTGAGGTGAGAAGGTTGGCAGAGTGGAAAGGGGTCCTTGGAGGCCCGCGAGAAGGCTCCCCCTTCAGCAGCACAGCGTGAGCTCCGGAGCTCGGCTGCTCTGGGAGGCCCCCTTTGCGCACCTGTGCCCTTGGGGCCAGCAGACCCTCCTGGTCCTGTCATTTCTGGGTGCTCAGCAGTATGATCAGCCACCTCAGTTCTGGGGAAGGGCCAGAGGGTAGGCCTGCATCCCTGGGGTGTCCCCACCACACACCTTCACAGTGTGGGGTGTCCAAGTCTGGCCCCGCCCCTTCCCTGGCCCCTGATTGTGTGGTGGGAGTGACATGTCTCAGACGGGGTGAGCTGGCTGTCTTGATTCTCATTTCAGTTTCATGTACAGAACTTTTCAGCAGCGGCGTAAAGAGCAGGGGTTGAAATGAACACCCACCTTTGGGGCCTTTGAGAGTAACCCTCGAACCCGGGGCCAAACTCGCCAGCCTGTGATCTGGGCACTGTCCTGTGTGTCTGCCTCAGTGCGTGATGTGTGACCCGTCTTCCTACCTGCCTTTTTTTTTAAAGTGGTATTTTGAGGAAAAATTTCTGAAAGCTTTGGGATGGATTTCGAAGCATTGCATGAACATGCTTCATTTGTCTTTCTAACCTGCCACCCCCTCCCGTCCAACCCCTAACAAAATTCCTGTTACTTGTAGCTGTCACTGACTTTGGAGCTTCTTTCCTCTCCTTCCCCTGAGTTTGCAGTTTCTAAGGGATGGACCAGTAAACCTAAAACTTCCCAACATTGGGGAAAATATACTGAAACAGGGCTTTCAGAGATGCGGGAATTTTTATAGAAAATAGCATTTGCTGCCTGGCCATGGCACAGTAGGTTGTAACTAATGTTCTTACCTTTGTAAGTAGCCACGAAACCTCCTCCTGCCTCGCGGGCAACGACTAGCAGCGGCCTGCAGTGGCCAGGCCTGGAGGAGGGGACACTGCTAGGCAGGCCCTGGTCAGCCGGCGGGGTCGGGCAGGGAACTGGGTCCCATCCTGGGCCCACAGGTCTGGGCTCTGGGAGGGCCTAACCTAGCGCCTCCCTGTCCCCCCACCCCGCAGAGTCGGCGTTTTGGAGGACTCCTTCACCTTCCTGGGCATCTTCTTGGCCATCATCTTGTTCCCCTTTGGGTTCATCTGCTGTTTTGCCTTGAAGAAGCGAAGATGCCCCAACTGTGGTGCAAACTTTACTTAAAGGGAACAATACACCTGGCTTTCCTACGTCCAGCTATCTTTTTCTAATGTAAATGTAAATGTCGTGTACAATAGCTTTATTTGATTACGCTTCAGGACTGTTTTGTAAAGTGAGGCAGGATAGTCGGCCTGTGTGAGCCGAGGTTGCGGGGGCAAGGGTCACGGAGTGTGGACAGGCGCAGCACTGCTCCCGGGCTTAGTGACCACTCAGTAAAGCGCTGCTTTTATTTTTTGCAGTCTGCAATTTGAGAAAGGTGAGAATTACTGTTTTAAATAAATGAGATTCATACCACTGTTTTACCTGCTTCTGCTCATTCGGTGTCACTTAGGGAAGAGGATGACATGCCCATTGCCCCTCTGGGGTGTGTGGGATTCCTCAATGGGCATTTCCAGCTCGAGAACATGTGCTTATTTTCAAGTCCGTTTATTATTAGAATGAAACATAACACCTTGACATTCACAGAGCAGGCGCTTTGGCCTAGGGCAGGTAGGTGACCCCTGTAGTTCCATTCTGTGACCCCCTGAAACAGGCCGGTGGGCTTGCAGATTGCATTGAATCCTGGGACTTACTCTCCATTGCGACAAAGCCAGAAGACCCTAAGCTCCAGGGGCCTCACCCGTTGCCCTCGTTAACACACTTCTGAACCCTGCCCTGCAGGCCTCCACTGTGCATCTGTTCTCCTGCTCTTAAAGAGCAAAGAGACCAATGGGCCACTTAGTCTGTTTCCTTTTCTGACTGGATCACTTCCTCTGGTGTGTCCTTGTGGAGTAAATCCTCATCCTGATTGACCTGCATTTGACCTGGACTGAGTTCAAACCCAGCACAGAGGCGCTAGGATGAACAACCTGCCCTACTCCACATAGTGAGGGCCTGTTGGTGAAGCTTACTTGTCATCTCTGGAATATGGTCTCATCCCTGAGAGCCAGCCAGGTGCTGGGTTTCCTCCCACAGAAGCCAGACTCCACGTGTGTGATGCTGGGTCTTAGCTGAAGTGAGGCTGTTCCTAGCCACTGGGCCCCGCCTAGAGTCCTGTGGGCTTCATAGGTGCTACCTGCAGCTCAGGATCTGCCTCAGGAGGACAAATTTGGATCCCAAGAAGTTTCAAGTCAGTCAGTGACAGAGCCAGCTTCGGTCAGCTAGCTTAGCAAGGACCTTCAGGCTTCCACATGAGCTCCGGTCCTATGAGCTGCCCACGTGTGGCATGGCCCGGCGTCTTCTCAGTCAGCCTACGTGGTGACTCGTGACTACCACATTCAGTAGCCCTCAGAAATGATTCAAGTACTAAATTTCATGGCGGTAGGCAAAATGTCTCACCACTCTACAGCTATGTCTAGATTGCAGAAAAGTTGGGATATTTCCATTTTGGGTAGCTGATTAAACAGATTTAAAAAATTGTAAGTTAGATTTCATACAATATTCTCATCATTTATATCGCTTAAAATTATGATGTGCATGCCAAGATGCAAATTTACACTATTTTCTTTAGAGAAACATAATGCTACTTACGAGCACATGCTTTACAAAATTGTCTTCATTTGCATTCAGGTACAGAGAGCCAGCATGAAAGCATAGGCTAGCCCTTATCCTGGCTATTAAAAAATAATCAGAATATTAAACAAATGATACAGTGAGGACTGGAGTAAAATTTACTGGTTTTGGAACAGCCTAAAGAAAAAATATTTTAAATGATTGAGTAGATTCTAAACTATGTTTTTCAAGACAAATCCAACTATGTCAAATTGAGAAATGCATTGATTTGCTCACATAGAATACATTTAAAATCAGGCACCCGCTGGTGAAGCTTTACAACAGTTAGAGCACGTGTCGAACAGTATATACCTATCATTTTGCAAGTGAGAACTTAACATTAGAGGAGCCAGAAGAACTCCAGCGCTGTCTCCTCATCGAATGATTGGTGCTGATCGATCGTTGGTCACTGTTGGCCGGAGTTTCACAGTGGCGAAGGGGTTTTCTCCACTGTGAGAGAGGAGAAAAAATGTCCGCAAGGTGGGAATTAGGTTTTACAAGCGCTAACAACTATTTGTGCTCTGTACCATTTCTAACCACCTTCCACTGCACCTAAGTTGTGGATGGCATTTTCTGGAGGACTTTTTGCTTTGGCAGTTCTCACCAAGCCACCCAAAGTTTTAAATGTTTTTGACATTTAAACCTGTACTGGGATTGGGTGTTGGGGGAGAGCCCAGGGTCTGGATTAAGTTGTCAAAGGCATCAGTAACCAGGAGACCCACCTTGGGGTCCTGGTGGATTCTGGGCTGGCCCTCCAGGCCTTTCTCCTTGGAAGTGGACGCTATAAGGTGGCCACATTTTCCTGATCACACAGGCCCAAGATTTACTTGAGGATGCATGTCCTGGGCTGAGCACGAAGGGAGAACATTCTGGAAATGCTATAGGTCGGTCACCAGCAAAGAAGGGCTTTAAGGATAAAGGGCCACATACCTGAGGAAGGGAGGCTTTGCGATCCCATTGGCTTCATTCTGTGAGGAAGATAAAAGTGAGGTTTAAGGCAGGTTCTTGAAATTAGGACATTTTAAATAAGCCCCGAAAGTAAAGACATCTGAAACATACAGGACTGTTGAAAGCCTGGCATGTGTATGAGTGCCCTGGGGTCGATTCATCAGAGACCGAGACATTCAATTGGGAGAATAGGACAGCCTTTCAGCCATCCTCTGTAATTTGCCAAAATGACCAATGTGAAGGGCAGCCAGGCACCTGCCATATGTCCCCCAGGCCTTTTAGAAAACATGGGCCTGTTCCTTTGGCAACATGAACGCAGATCTCCAAGAAAGGTGACGCTGGACATCCAGGGCACGGTCACAAAGGAACTGTTACTGATGGAGGATGGGAATGGGGGCTGGAAGGGACATTGCAAGGCCAGGAACCATTTCTCACAAGGAGGTGAGGGTAGAAGGGATTAGTAAAAGCCATTACTCAAGTAATGGAAACCAAGGCCCTTAGGCTTCTCTGCCCAGATCAGGAGGCACAACACCCAGACAGGTGTCACACTGCTGCAAGGAGTGTCACCTGAGGATGAAGATACCGGATTAAGGAACAAACGCCCACTCACAAAGATGAGACCCTTCCTAGGGAAGAAGAAGATGATAAAATGCAGCACTGCCCCACAGAGGCAGCAGTCTTTGCCCACCTGTGCCTATGCAGGGCTTTCCACCAGCTCTTCCTCTGCAGGGCAGCAGCCACCTGCCTGCCTGTGACCTGTACCTGCCAGGGCTTCTCTCCACCGGCCTCCCTTGGCAGAGGCAGCTTCTTCAAGGCCACCCGCCTGTGACCACGTGGGCCTCTCAGCAAACCTGTCCCTTTGGGCGGCTCTTCCTGTCCACTTGTGTCTATATTAATTGTCTTTTAACTCTTCTGTCCTTTTCCCTAATAAAATTGTTCTTTTAAATATAACTAATGACTCTGTTGTGGAAAATCTCACTAGTGTGTGCTGCTGAAAGGTGAAATCTTTTCCAGAGTGAACCCAAGACCCCACACTCCAAACCTACCCACTCCAGAAATGACAATATAACCATGGCAGACCAGTTACAGTGGTGGGTCAGTCTGCCAAGAGAAGTTAATGTCTGTATCGGGCACAGGAAGAGCAGAGACAACATACAAAATGTGTGAAGGAAAATGAGTAGAAAAGAAGGCAGCCGTAGAGATTGGGTCCAACTGAAGTGCCAGCCTGCGCCCTTGAGAAGCAACCTGGGCAGGAGCTGGAGCCCACTTCTCAAGGATTCATGACACAACAACTGTAAACAAACAAAAAACTGGACTGCGAAAACATCCAGTAAAGGGTCCTCGCGCGAGCCGGCCATGCGCTGGTGCTCAGGCACGAGCCCGACTCCAGGGCAGAGGGGACCCCCAGAGCTCCGCGGGGCCTGACGACACCGGCTCAGCCTCGGGATAAGGTGCGGCTGCTCTTCCTGGCATTTTGGTAGCCTAGTCCTAAATGATACCACGAGAAGCAGCAAATAGAAGTGAGCCTTTGGTGGCGTGTGACACCCACTGAGGGGTGACGGCAGTCAGAGCCTGCGGGAAGTTCCCTAAAGAGGGAGCCGAATCTTCAGGGCGCCTGGGCATGGCCATGGCTGGGCAGCCCTCAGGGAGCCGGCTGCAGAGCCCCCCACCTCGCCCCCAGCCGTGTGTGTGTGTGTGTGTGTGTGTGTGTGTGCGCGCGCGTGCGTGTGTGTGTGCGCGCGCACGCGACTTTCAAAAAGCTTTGCAGTCTTCAAGAATCTGCTCTAGGGCTCTCTCTGGTGGTGCAATGGGCTAAAGCACCTCATTACAAAGCTCTCCAAAGCCACTGCAGCACAAGTTGAATCCCCCACGCATCCCCACCTCCAGGGAGGTGATCCACATGGTGCAGCAGACCTCTCCTGACCCACCTGCTGCTCCCCTCAGCAGTGTATTTCAGTACATTTGCCTGTTCTGCTCCCCACTCTGTCTCTGGTGAATCCTACCTCTGGCCTGTACCCCATTTTGTAAGCATAAATAAATCTTTAAAAAAAAAAAAAGAATCTGCTCTCATTATCATGGCTTTATAGCTTGAGTCTGGAAGCGTGATACCTTCATTTCCCCCCTTTTTGGTGACTGCTCCTGACGGGAGAAATCTTTTACAGTGAAAAATAAAACAAGGATTTTTTTTAAAAAAAGATCTGCTTTGTATCTGCTCTGGTTGTTGAGAAATCACCAGCCCGAGCTTGTGGGCTCAGATGTCACCCAGGAGAGGGCAGTGTGACACTGTCTGACCTGCAGGCCCCAGCAGAGTCCTGAATGCTGTCCAGGCTGCCCTGGGCGCGGGGCTTCCTCTAGCTCTACCCCAGCAGAGCTGCGCTCCTTCGTGCCGGCCTGTGGCTGCAGGCCACACCTGGGGGCTGAAGGCCAGACCAGGGCTCCTTTGGACTCTCGGCAAAAGGAGAAGGGCCTGGGGGAGCTGGGCCATCTCAGAGGCCCCTCCTGTCCTGTAAGCCTCAGGCAGCAGGCTGGCCCTGGAGAGCCGCCACACCCGGGGCAGCTCATCAGCCTGTGTGCAGTCTGGCTTCCAACCCCGACAGTGTCTGCTTCTCAGCCCTGAGACACCTGCCCAGCTCAGAGTCCCAGGTGGACTTTCCTCCTGAGGCACACTGAGCTACCCTAGCAGGTGTTACCCAAGTCACTTCTGATGTAACAGCCACGTTAAATAGTGATTAACACCCATATTACATGATCTGAAACACATCCGGGATGCCGGTCTCTGCCAAGTGCCTAGAGCCCGACCTAGAGCAGAAAGCCTGCACCGCACCCCACCCCACCCTACCCTTGAGGCCTTGACACCAGGAAGGGCGACTGCCCCTTTGGCCTGGAAAAGGCACCTCTTGCCACACAAGGCTCCCGGGTGTGGCCCCAGGCCTGCTGGTCCATTTTCTCCCACTGGAAGCACCACCCGTGTCCCCCTCTCATCCATCTGGAAACCAGACCCGCAGCCCACTGCCTCCGTGGGCTGTCCACGGGGCACAGCATCTCTGCATTGCCTGGCCCACCTTCCCCCTATGTGTGCTCAGAACATGTCTGGGAGCTGCACCGTTCAAGGCCCCACGGTTGGTGGAAAAACAACCTCCCACCACCTGAGCCTTGCTTTGGTCAGCAGTACTGCCCTGTCTTAAGCTTGTCCTCAGACTCCACATCCCAGCACCCAGGCACTCTGGGCTGCTGCCTCTGTTCTGGCCAGTGTGTGGCCTTTGGGCACGTGCACAGCACAGTACACCCCGTGTCCCTGGCCTCTCGCCCCAGCCCTGGTAGCTGTGCTGTGCTGACGGAGCGCACCAGACAGGGCGTCATCAAGCACAAAGCCAGATGCCAGGGGGCCGGACATGTCATAGGGCGGAGCAGGCAGCCTTCTCTACGGGGCAGGGAGGGGATTGGACAGCAAGAGGAGCGGGAATACAGCCAGAGTGGGGCAAGCTCATGACTCCCCTCACCCAAAACCAGGCCCACTTCAAGTGGGTGTTTGCTGCCTGCCATGCACATCCACCCCTCCATCCCCTGCCCTGTTCCTGGCTATGCTGTGGTGTCCACCACGTGCCCATGCGCTTGGAGGGGCCTACTTGGTTCCAGCTTAAGGGGGGCTCTGGTCAGCTGAGATCGCCCAGGACAACCCGTTTCCCTGCTTCAGGCGGACACCGAGCTGAGCAAGGGGCCCCGTGGCGCCAGAGCGAGGCAGGGTGAGTGGGTACCCGCCGCTCTCTGCCACGGCCACACCGCAGAGGGCAGGTGTGGGATGAGATGAGGGGGGCCTGAGGGCGTCTTTGGCACCTGCCCTTTCTCACCTGCTGCTTCCTTTCAGGCTAGAGCCATCTGGAAGCCACTTCTGTTACTAAGCTGTCTTGACTCTTGTTTTAAATGTCAGTGAATGCCGGTCCTTAGCTGTGGCCTGGACTTATTTCCCAAGCCATACCTCTAACCTAGTTCAGCCCTTTCATTCTTAAAATGGCTGCTCAGGGCCGCAGGGTTCTTTTCAGGACCCAAGGAGCCTGTTGTGGAGGAAGCAGCAGGTGAGCAGGTGCTCAGGGAGCCCACTGTTCCTCTCAGCAGTGTACTTCCTCTACCTGCCTGTTCTACTTCTGGCTCTGTCTCTGGTGAATCCTGTCACCACCCCTGTGCCTCTGGTCTGTACCCCAGTTCTGTATGCAGAAATAAATCTTTAAAAAAACAAAAAAAAAAAAACACCCCAAAACCACAAAGTATCTGTCAGGCCTAAAAACTTTTGAGACAACATTCCAGGTCTGTCCTCAACCCTGGAGGGTACTGGGGCAACCTCAGTCATCACATTCCAGATCAAGGTTTTAAAGGGAACCTTGTTTCTGTGTTCAATGATCGATACCTCACTTCCATTACACTAGCCACTAGCCATATGTGACTATCTCAGTTAAGATTAATTAAAATTGAAGAACTTAAAATATAGACCCCCACGTCCTCTGCTGAACCACCCACTTCTCAAGGGCGTGGCCGGCAGTGGCAGCACAGCTCTAGGCCATTTCTGTCTGAAACATACATTCTCTGGTTTCTTTTGCTGAAGCCCCTCTGGCCTCTCCCCAGTCCCACGGTGACAGCCTGCGGCTGCGGGAGGGGACCCTTCCCGGGCCGTGTCTCTGGGCGGCACTGGCTCCCCCATCTTCCCTGCCGCAGGCCTGCCCGCTTCACAGCGGTGACCTCAGGACTCCTTACGGGACTTTGTGAGGAGAACGTGGCAGTCTGCCTAACAGGCCAGGGCCAGCAGGGGCTGCGCTGGTGACAGCTGCCCATCACACAGGTTCTTGAACGAGCACTTCAGTGTTAGTGCCGGAAATGGAATCTGAATCAGTCATTTAATCTCGGTGCACATCTGGGAAGCACCTTGCACCTGCTCTGGGCTCATGACCCTTCATTCTGAGGTGACATGCCCAGTATTGTTCTGTAGATAAGGAAAAGTCAGGGCTCTGAAGAGGCTGATTTGGGAAGC